CAGTCTCACCTTATGCATAAGAAAAATGGGGCACAGGACAGTTCCCCACGTAGTTAGTGGCAAAGATGGAAATTGTAGGTGGGTGACCCTGCCTCCAAAACTCTGCTCCTTCCGCCATAGACTGCACTGCCTCCTGGTCTGATTTGGGGTCATATTTGAGTGAGGTTTCCTTACTTTTAAGATTTATGGCAACTCAGACTTGAAGCAGTTTGCCCCTAAGTCCCCTTTAGGTATTTTGACCAACCTTCCAATTGTTTGGCAGTAAAGCACATTTGGAAGGTCTTGTGAAATGCTACTTTTTACTTCAGTGTTTTGTTGTTGTTTTTTAAAGGCATTGCTTTTAAAATGACTTGATGGTTTCAAAGTAAAACTTAAAAAGTTATTCCCAGGGAAGATGATTTTTCCTTTACTTCGACCTGGTCTTGAAAGGAGAGGAAAACAGCCCTGTGGTCGCTGAGAAGGTCCCGAGGTGCTGGTGTGGCTCTCACTCTGGTTTGTTCTATTGCAGACAAGTCATTACTTTTCCATTTCTCACAACTGGGCTGAGCACAATTGAACCATGGGGGAACACAGTCCAGATAACAACATCATCTACTTTGAGGCAGACGAAGATGAGCTGACCCCTGATGACAGGATGCTCAGGTTTGTGGATAAAAACGGACTGGTGCCTTCCTCATCTGGAACTGTGTACGATAGGACAACTGTTCTTATTGAGCAGGACCCTGGCACTTTGGAGGATGAAGATGATGATGGACAGTGTGGAGAACCCTTGCCTTTTCTAGTAGGGGGTGAAGAGGGCTTTCATCTAATAGATCATGAAGCAATGTCCCAGGGTTATGTGCAACACATTATCTCACCAGATCAGATTCATTTAACAATAAACCCTGGTTCCACGCCCATGCCAAGAAATATCGAAGGTGCAACCCCTCACTCTGCAGTCGGAATGTCCAGAAACAAAACGTAAAGAAGTAAGTAAAGCGGTGGGTGAGGGCTCAGTTTGGCTTTGGGGAAAGTCCTTACACAGCTCTTGGTGGCAATTTTAGCGAGAAGGAAAGGAGTCTGTGCCATCAGGACCTACAATGGCTTTCTTGTCAATAATTCATGTTTCACGTTTTGTTGTGACTGTGGAACTTTCGGTTTGTAAGGCTACATTGAAATTTGGGAAAACGAAAGTATAATGTTTCTCATATTCCTCCCCAAATGATAAATAAAATAGAAATCTCACTGAAGTACATTTATATTTCTGATGCTGGAATGACTAGATCTGGCTTACCTCTGGGTTACATATAAATGACTTGTTTTGGAGATGGAGTATCTGCTGGAATATGTTTTTTTAGTGAATGTTGAATGAATAATAAAGGCTAGTTTTCTTTCATAAGAAATTTAGGCAAGAGACTCTAAATGAGAGCAGGTTATCTAAAATAAGTTTTCATGCTTTTATTTAGCTAGTGTTGAGTAAGGTAATGCATGTCACAGTGTTTTGGAAACTGAAACATTGTACAGGTGGTGATTATTAGCAGAATAAAAGATGTGGTTTAAAGGTAGTGATATACATTATATAAGAACTAATTGAAGGTCAATTAGAAAAAAATAGATCACTGGTAGTTGCAATGCAGGGACTAAATGTAAAATGTTACCAAATAGACATAGGGTAAATTGTTTGGCAAAATAGTTTTCTGTTGTAATGAAGGTCTTGAAATGGGGCATTCATGACATATGGCTTTTCCTTTAGCCTTAGGATATCAGAGCTGGAAGGAGCCCTAGAGAGACCATCTTGTCCCACCTCCTTACCCCAAGCAGTAATCTCTATAGCATCTCTGACATCAGTTTCCCTGGTCTCTGCTTGACCACTTCCAGAATGAGGAGGGCACAGTGTTTCACGGCTCAGCCTAATAGATTTGTTGGCCAGCTCTGATTGTTAGAAAGCTGTTACTTGTATGGAGCCAAAATCGGCCTTCCTGCAGTTGCCCACTCCTTCCTAGTTCTGCCTTCCTGAACAACAGCAAGTTAAGCCTTCCTTTCGAAGGACAACCCATCAGATATTTAAAGATCATGGATTTCTCTTCATCTTCACCTGTACAGGC